TACAATGCCAACAGAATAAGCTTTGTTTATAAATACTTCCGCATAGCCACTTATAGGTTTCGTATACCAAGATATTTCAAAAGTTCTGTTTTTTTCAGTTTCGTTTCTTCTTAAAAAAAGGCGTTTCAATTATTAAGCGAATAATGTCATGAAGACGATTCATTAAAAAAAAAACAGAAATATTTAACTAAAGAAAACCGGTATTTTAAAAACCTAACCCTAATTGAAACTCAATACGACTTGTTGTTTAATAAAAACTGCTAATTCTACCTGTGTAGCGTCTGCACCACATTAATAAAATAATAAATTTAACTAATCGAGACAAAAACTGAAAGATCAGACAACAGTAACCCGCTCTACACACACTGCAACACAAACTGCCACCCACCACATCTTCAGCCATGTGATATAAAACCCCCAATTAGGGCAAGCCCAAGCTCCAATTATCTCGCCTCAAGCAGCAACAAATAGACGCGAACTCGCCTGATGTATTAGTAGGTAAATAGTTTACGCTCTCACAGGCTATAAATATTTCGCCTCTGTTCGGTCTACTCTACTACTTATACCTTGAAGCTGCAGTGTCCATGGACACTCTTTTATTTAGAGAGCGGCATACACAACTAAGTAATGATCATTTTACGGTCGGTTTTTTTTCGAACAAAAATTCTTTATTATCTCGACAAATTCCCGAGTAATTTGCGAAAATGTCGTTCAAAGGTATGCACCTGTGCGTTCAGGCACGATGATACGAAAGCCCGATCTTCAATGACGAAACGGAATAAAGTTGTGTCTAAGCAGTGCCGGCTCAAACAAGAAAGGTGACTTAATCAAAAGGTTTTGTTTTATAACTCGGTACCTTAGAATGACAAGGTCCTAAGTGCAGTTGCCATGTTAAGCGAAAATGCCTTATTTGCAATATTTAATATTGTAGATAAGGCATTTTTGTTTAACAGTGCACCTGCACTTAGAACCTTGTCATTCCAAGGTACTAGTTACTAACGTTTTTTTTAACATTTTAATTATTTTTTTTATATAATTTTTAGTACGATTATTTCCAAAAATACTTACATTGTTAAAATCAAAACCATATTTTATTTTATAATAAGTGGGGAATTCAATTATGGTAAAATTAACGTTATGTTAGTTAAATATAACTTTTTGGTTAATGTTCCTTTTGGTTAAAAAGAAGTTAATTTTTGGTAGTTTTTTGTTTATTTTAACTGATTTACCAAATATTTATATATCCATTGATATCTTATAGAGATAGGGAAAACCCAATGGGACATTTTTTTAAATTAACCTGCAAGTAAACCATTTGGTTATTTTATTATGTTTAACTACTTCATTTACCTATCGGTAGTTTATTATCCTTTGGTTTTGGTTTAAATTCGGTTAATGTAACACATTATAGTTAATATTTATAAAAATTAGTAAAATTAAACTAACTTGTTATTTTTAAAATAACTTACCTAAAAAAATTCCCGCCGATCTAACGTTCTGATTTTAGTTGCAGCCCTGCTTTATTTATATATATGGTATACCATCACTTTTTTAACTAGTTTATTAATTAACGTTAATCAACCAGCGAGTTCAAATGTATTTTGTAAAATATTGCCAATTTGACCCAGGAGGGACAAAATTGGATTCCGGGTATAGAAATATACCTGTATTTTTGGACAATATCGCAAGCTTTGACCTTTTAGCGAGGTATTTTGTGATTTGTCCAATACATTGAGTGGATGATCCAAGATTTGGAAAGTTCGCGTGTCTATGGGTGGAAAACTTGTTGCTGTTCAAAATGGTACATTGAAACCGAGACCATTAAGGCCTTTGGCCACCAAGGAAGAAGAAGAAGAAGAAGAAAAGAGGTGTGACTGCTTTTCCGATAGAGGCGCTAGTGGGCCGTCGAAAGAGCCTTAAAAATAATACTTATTGCATTCTTTAAGCAATACACACATATATATCGACATATGAAAAAAGTTGTAACACCCGAAACGTTTCGGGTGTCACATTTTTTAATCAAGAAAAACACATATCAAACTAGTCTCATGCTCAGATATTAGTTAGTATTTTAAATCATTACCACCATAACGTTACTTTTACTAAATATTATTACACTAATCAATCTGTAAGGTATAATAATAAAACAATTACATGATTTTTCGTTTCGGGTGTTACAGTGACAAAGTAAGAAGAAAACACACTTAAAACATGATAATTATCAATTTTTTCGGGACCGTGACGCAATCCTCCAATACTACGATGAATAATCTCAAATCACAACGTGGCAAAACGGTTGACAGATTGACAGTTTTTTTTCGCATTTACAATAGTTAGAGGCACAATGGTCATTGAGCCAGTTCACTTCAGTACAGATTTTGAAGACTAATTAACTTAAAAATTACACGTTTCTTCTAGTTTTTTTGTCGCACATTATAATTTGGAATGTTTTCTTTCAAAATTTATCAGATTTAATGCGAAAAGAAAATATTTATTTTTTCACCCTTAGTATCGTTTGTCATGGAATGACCCAGAAGTTAAACTAAACTAAAATATGTCTAAAAAATAACTAGTCTTAAAAGTTAAAAATAGAAGATTTTGGTTAATTTTTTTAGAATGCTAGTTATTTAACCAGTTGTGCTACTTGGGTAATTTAGAGAAGGTTAATACGCATTTTAAAATGACAAAATCATAAAAATGTTAAAAAACCTAAAAGCCAATGTCAAAACTATTTATTTTACCGAAGGAAAAATACAATCAAACACTATGCACGCACTATGCACGCACTATGTACGCACTATGCACGCACAATGCACGTCGTTTTAAAAAAATGGACTAAACCCAGTATTAAATTTATTTAATTATTGGTTTCAGTTCAATTTTTTATTTACTGCGTCTGTTAACTGAATAGACTTTTTAAAACCATATTATAGTGTCAAAATTACTAAGAAATTAAGAACACATTTAAATCATTCGTTACGACTCGAAACCAATATCCACAGTTAATTTCGGTTGTCCGCCCTGGGTCCGGCACTGTTAAGTAGCGTTGCAAAAAAATGTCCACATAATTACCTGTAATTGGTAACAACGATTCCGGTACGAAACGGATGGTGGGGATGGCGCGGTGGCAAAAACAAGGCTGAGGAAATAAAACACTGGTTGTTGGTTTTCTTGTTGCTGGACGAGACCGGTTAACTTATGTGTATGTGTGTTGTAAAACGGTGTGTGCACTCATACTCGTGAGAAACTGGCAAGACTCGAGCCGTATGTGCACTATGGGCCACACAAACATATTTTTTAGTTTGATGGTTTAATTTCCAAAGATCAAGTCACTTTATTTTGACTATTGTATGACATTTGACATCTGTCAACTAACTTAAAGCTAACTTCATCCCGAAAGCCACTGTTGCTAACTTCAGCGTGCCCCTATCCGAAAATTATCTGAGAAAGTTTTGGATGACTTCCGCAATAATAAAGCGACATTATTCACGAATTTGATTTTTAAATTTTGTGATGTTGATACATTGTAGACCTTTGACCCTTGTCTGTCAATCCACCTCTCAGGAAAACACGTGTCCTGTTGAAACCAAATGAAATCAATTGGTAGATCGGGACCTCCATTCTCATTGGGAAACATTTCTGATAATGTGCGAAGAAGATAGTTTTGCAAAAATTCCAAATACGTTTGTCCTGTCATATGTTCGTCAAAGAAGAATGATCCGATTTACCACCATTCCTGCCCAGACATTCACTTTTTGCCGGTATTGGGAATTTTCCTCTACTACCCAATGAGGATTTTCTCTGCTCCAGTACCTACAATTTAGACGGTTGACTGTACTATTCAAACAGAATGTAGCTTCGTCCGAAAAAAGTATTTTACGAGGAAAGTGTGGATTATTGTTAGATAAATTCATCATAGTTTCACAAAATTGTAGTCTACGGTCCGGATCATCTTCGTTAAGTACCTTAAGGTACTTAACGAAGATGAAAAGTACCATCCATACAAATTTAGACTAGTGAATTCACTAGTCTAAATTTGTATGGATGGTACTTTTCTTTCTTCATACGAGGTAATGCTGAGCGTTGGCTTACTTGACTTTCAGCTGCGACTAGACTAGAAGCACTGTGAGGATCTTCTTTCACAAGTAACAAAATGTCAATTTTAGTGTCTTCACCAATACTCGGACTGCCAGGTTTTGGAATATCTTTGACATGTCCAGTCTCTTTGAATTTCCGTTCAATTCTAATCACCGTAGCATGGGTAATAGGTCGAGCTGTATACTTAGCATTAAATAAATTGCAAACTTCTTCTAGTTTTCTTACCACATCCTATGGAAATATTTGGAGATCGCTTAAGAAACAGATATTTTACTGAACGCTTAACTAAAAGTTTTTACATCTAGTAGTGAATATTTGTTTTAAATTATATGCTAACAAAGAAATATAAAATAAAAAACTTCCATAAATCGTCATTGAAAAAGTTTGACCTTGAATGAAATATTTTGAGAAAGTTTATAAACATTTATTCTATAAACTCTTTTTAATTTAAGCTATAAAACATCAAAACTTTATTAAAAACTATAATTTTTTCACTTTTAATAGTTAATTAATAACTATAGTTTAGCCCAAAAGGTATAAATGTGCATATTGCTAAAATCACAATTGTATAACCTATTGGAATCTCCAAAAAAGAGGGAGGTACCATTTAAAAAAATGGCCGATTACGTGACATATTTGTCCCATAGTGTACGTTCACATTGTCTTTATCCAATAACCCCCTTTGTTTTTATTTCTTCAGTTTTATTTCTTTTAAAAGTAATTATAACGAGCCTGTCCCTGCGCATGTATCTTTATACAATTTTTATTGCCATACCGTAACGAAACTTGTTACCGACACTTTTTAACTCTTAACTTTTTCGGTTACACAATTTATTATCATTTAATTACAACTTTTTTATTCTGTTAGACGTTTTTTAACTTTGTTTTATTTCTTTTTACAGAGAAGCTGAACAAACCTACGGCACCTATTTGATCATAGAAAATATCAAGAATGCCGATTTTGGTGAATACATTTGTACTGTGACCAAACCGGGATTCGAGTTGAAGAGATCAGTGATCGTACGAGAATTAGGTAAGCCAAAAAACCCTAATAACTTATTCCAAAAAATTTTGAGAAAAATTAATTTCATACTGACATCAGATGTTATCTGCTGGATTGATGAATATAAATCATTTAATTTTAATAAATAGGTATATCCAAACTGTAATTAGTTTATAAAATATTTACTTATGTATTGTTTTTTATACAGAATTTATGTAGTTTTTGACTTATCCTATATCATTTTGTGATCTTTGGACTAATAAAAATCCCAAAGACTATTTTCAAAAAAATTGTAAACCCCCATAGGTATAATTGTTATTCTAAATTTTTTTTTCAGAAGAAGTAATCTACCTCAACCCAAACCCAATTCCGGTAAAGAAACTGCTGATATTCCTATCGATATTGGCGATTATTGGAACCGTAATAGGCATACTTTACCTTAGATACGCCCTGATGCTCAGGGTCGAACTAAAGGACAAATTGGGGCCCGTTGAGAATTCCAACGGAAAAACCAGTGACGTCATGATTGTTTATTCGGGAAAGGACACGGAAATAGCGCTCGGCGTTTTATTGCCAACCTTAGAGAATCAATATAACTACAAGTGCTCTTCCAGGGAGCTCCCACTCAATGTTAATATGTGTAAGTATTTTTTTTAATATTAAAAAAACTATAAAACATTTAAAAAAAATTGTTTTATATTTTTTTTGTAGAAAAAATTACTATATTTGCATTAAATTAGGAAAAAGTGAGGTTAAAACCGTCTGACGGATGTCAGATTGGTAAAAAGTGACAAAGTAGGGGTTATGTAACAATTTTAATAAGAAATGGCAAAAAAATTTAATTTAAATTAAAAATAAATTTGGTAGGTAATGCAATTTCAATATTTTTTCTTTGAAGGTGTCATGCTACATTTAAGTTTCTTTCAGTATATATATTTACAGGGTGTTATGTAATTAGGTTTTTCTATGATTTGTAAAATACATTTAATTTCCTTTAATGCTTTTAATAAAGGAAGAATTTTAAACAACTTTTAAAATAAAATATTTTTTTCATAGTGTTGATATTCTTAATAGTTTTTAATAATATTGTACTCTTGTTTCAGGGTATTCCCATTTGAAAGAACCTGCAAAATCGACAAAGCGTCTGCTGCCGCTACTCTCCCCGGCCCTGCTAAACGAAAAATGGGAAAGTGATAATGTCCTGATGGCTTTGAAGCAACTCCAACTGGTCGGGCCCCAAATGTGCTGTGTGGCTCTAAAAGAGCTCCCCAAGAAGGAAAACGAGGTTAAGAACGCGCAAGGCGAGACTTTAACATCTCTGAGCAGAAATTTGAACGTGATCACGTGGGATCGTCAGAACGAAGAAAAATTCTGGCTCTCGCTGCGCCTCAGACTGCCTCCGAACAGAATGAGGTTGGAGGTGAACTCTAGTGCTTCGAACGGGGGTAACAATTCGAGACTGACTGGCATCTCTAGGCAAGAGAGCTTGGACAATTTGGTGTAAATATTTATTATTATTATTATTTAATTAATATTGTTACATTTGTATTATGTAATCATTGTTCCATTATATTTGGGGACCGAAGGCTGCCATACTTATATACCTATTATATATGAGCTTGATGTCTTCATTTACGACGTAAATTTTATTGTGATTTTTTAATGTTATTCTTACTACTTATTAGGATCTTTATTGTAAAATATTCCAATAAAAACTATATATTTAATGTTTAATGTTTTATTATAAAAATACCACTTATCTACACATAAAAGAGTTTGGTGATGGTTCAGTTGTAGGGGTATGTAAAAAAATTTTTAAAATAATATTCTACTTTTAAAATAAAACTCTAAAAACATTGGTTGTAAAGTACTACTTACTAAAGAAAAGTAAAAAAAAATGAAATTAAATTTCTATAGTTCCTCCTGAGAGTCTCAGGCTGAGACTGTAGAACTTAATTTTTTGCGGAGTTAACTGGCAATTGCCAACGACAAAAAATACCTGAATCTGGGATAATTTTGCGACATTGCAAAATTTCCAAAAATTCACAGAATCTGTAAATTTTTCAAAATCTTCAGGATACCTTCATTGAAGTTGTCTGATGATTTTTTCTTTTTTGCGACGTTGCCAAATTTCCAAAAATCACCGAATCTGGGATAATTTTGCAACTTTGCCAAATTTCCAAAAATCCCTAAAATTTTGTGACATTGTGAAATTTCAAAAAATCCCAGAATCTGCGAAATTTTTGCTTTTTTGCGATATTGGCAAACTTACAGAATCTGGAAAATTTTCAGTCTCTTCAACTATTAAGCTGTGTTGCCAAATTTCCAAAAAATACCCGAATATGGCATAATTTTGCGGCGTTGCCAAATTTTCAAAAAATCATGGAATCTATATTTTTTTGCTTTTTTTGCAATGTTGTCAAATTTCCAAAAATTACTATAATTTAGGATCTTTAGGATACCTTCATCAAGTCATCATGCATTATTTAATGGTGTTGCCAAATTTCCGAAAATTCCCAGTACTTGCGAATTTAAAAAAATCCTCAGGATACTTTCAGTAAATCATCCTGCACTATTTAGCGGTGTTACCGAATTCAACGTGATAAACGTGATTTTTTGCATATTCTGAAAACCTTAGGACCAAGTTTTTAGAACTGGGTATCCTTATATATACTGCCCTGTATCTATACTATAATATATAATATATAAATAAAAATGCTAAAATAAATAAATTTAAAGAAAACAATTCCAATTACACTCACGCGGGGTAGTAAAAAGGTGAGGTACACTTGTTTGTTTTAGTTTCTTATAAAATTGTTTTTTTATTCATTCTTTAATAATATATTTTCATTCCTCAAAGTTAAAAATAAAAGCATTTACACATTAATTAATAATCATAAATATAAAGTTATATAACTTTATATATAAATATATTTATATATATATATATTTAAATAATGTGTAAATGCTTTTATTTTTAAATTTGAGCAATGAAAATACTTTTTGTGTAATAACATAAAAAAATTATAATTATTAATGTATAGTTTATGAACAGAAGAGAAAAATATATAGAGAGAAATATTAAATTTTGATTTACAAATTTCGGAAAAATTAGTTGCCCGAAAAACCGATTTTTTCAGAAAAATTAAAAACAAACGAAATTTGAGAAAAAGTTAAGCCAGAAAAGTGTTTTATAGTATTAAATTTTGGTATTTCAAATATTATTTACAAAATATTTTGAGTGTCCTCATGACGAATTTGCGCGCCAACATATAATAATTGCTTTAGGTAAATCCCAGAAAAAATTCAGTTTGTCCAAACCAATTTTATTACAAAAATAAAAAAAACTTATAAAAACAAATTGTATACAAAAGATGTGAATTGCTCTGCTGAGAATAAACATTAAGGTTGGTAAATTATTGGTTTTTGTTAATTTAACAAATAATGATAAAATTAGTAGAGGGTATTATTTCAATCTTGAAATAAAATAAAATATAATTAATTAACATTTTATTTACATTTAATAATTTAAATACATAATAAAATAATATGTACATAATTTAATAACATTATAATTTAATAATTTAAATATTATAATATAATATATCCACAATATAAAAATTTTGATTTCACAGACCTATGTATTGTATATAAAATATAACATAATAAAAACCCCAAATATGCTCCTGTTTTCATACCAAACCTCATAATAAAGATATATTGACAGCAGCTAAAGAATCCCTAATCCAAGTAGGATAATCTTTATCTGGATACACACCCAACATAAACTCTGCAACAAATTGGGGAAACTTATTCTCCTTTATACTATCCCTAATACATTTCATGAGCCTCAATTGAAATGCAATATTATGTTCACTCAAAAGACTGCAAGCAACTGGTGTTCTAGCAGCAATTCCATGCAAATATGCTCTTGTATAAGTTTTGCAAATAACACAGGTACAATCTTTATCAATAGGATTAAAATCGAATTTATATTTTGCTTTTTTTAGTTGCAGTTGGCCAGTCATTGTAAGGGCACATCCAAACCTCTAAAAAGTGTAATTTTATTATTTTCACATGATTTATGTTGTCTCTAGCAAAAAACGAAAATTACTTACCGCAGTTCTTGTGGGGAAAACACAGTCAAACATATCAACCCCTAAAGCACTGCAGACTACTAAATCTATGGCAAATCCTACACCCATTAAATACCTAGGTTTATTTTTAGGTAATATGCTTGTCGATAAAATTACCATTTTCCAAAAATCATCTTTGCTTTCCCCACCACTAAAAAACCCTTAAAAAATCCATAATATTTCATACAAATAAGTAATTTACCTTAATCCACCAATAGCATATCCATTCACATTTCTTTTAATAAGATCATGAATACTTTGGGTTCTCAAGTCATTAAACAGTGTACCTTGCACTATTGAAAATATATTTTGATCATCTGGCCGCTGATGGGCCTTTAAACATCGATCCAACCATCTTGAGGTTCTTAAAAAATAAAATAATTGTGTTTCACAGAAAAACAAAAAAATTAGGTACTTTAGTTTACTAGGTACATTTGGTTAAAATTGTGTTTTATACATTTTTAAATACACCTTTTAAATTCCTATACATTTTATTAATCTTAATTATAAAATAAATTTCATTTTAAATGTTTTGAAAATATTTTATTTTCTAGCATCAAATAAAAACAATAAAGGTTATTGTACATATGAGATTTTTGGTAAAGGAAAAACTTAATACCTGTGTACAGATTCTTCTATTCTATCCTTATCAGGCACTGTGGTTGCAACCACATCATCAAGCTGCATTATAATGTCAGCACCAATAGCATTTTGAATTTCAATGGAATGTTCGGGGGTCAACATAACCTCAGCTTTCTGCTCATTTAAAGATTGAAATTTTACTCCCTCTTCAGTGATTTCAGCCAATTTCAGCAGGGAAACCATTTGAAATCCTCCAGAATCTGTCAGTAAAGCTCCTTTCCAGTTCATAAACTTGTGCAAACCACCGGCTTTTTTAAGTATTTTGGCACCTGGTTTTGTGCCTAAATGATAAGTGTTTGCCAGCATTATTTGCAGTCCCAAATTCTCCAATTGTTCAGGCAATAACCCCTTTAATGTCCCCTACAATTACTCTTTTTAATATACAGTATTAACGTTAAATTAAGTGATTTACCAACCTGAGTTCCTACCGGCATAAAAACTGGGGTATCCACAGCCCTATGGGGTAACTCCATTATACCAACACGAGCCATTGAGGTTTTACATTCTGAAATAATGTTAAATACCAGCGGCTTTTTAGGTGACATCTTTGACAACACGTTTATAAATAAACACAACGTATCACAGAAAAGTGCGGTTAATAAAATATAACCTCAATTTTTGACAGCTGCAAGTATACGCGTGAATAAATGCAACTTAGTATACAACAATGCGCTTTATTGCCTAACTTTAAATGGAAAAAACCAAATTCCTCTAAACTTAGTTTAAAATATAAATATAGGACGTATTAAATTAATTAAAAAGTAAAATTTAATTTTAAGGTAAATGCGGGAATTATGAGTATTAATGGATATTAGAGTAGAGTACCGTTTTCTTTATTTACAAAAATACAAATTAAATGCAGATTTACATAAAATCATCAGAATCATTCCCATCATCATATTTGGACATGTTGTCTGTATTCATTAGGGAGTTGTAGCTTCTTAGTTCAGCATCCTCTTGTCGCTTTTTCTCCTCATCCTTTTCTCTCTCCTTTTGATCTCTGATTAGTTTTTTTTTGTCTTCTCTTTCTAGTCTGTCCCGTTTCTCTCTTTCAGCTCTAAAATCTATTAAAAAAATTAACAAATGAATTAACATTGTAAAATTTTTTTGTTTTACCTGGGTGTTCTTCCCGTTTAGTTTTGTTTAGCCTATTAACCACCTCATTTATTCTTTTGGCGACTTTGATTTTTCGAACTTCTCTTTCCTTATGAAAGCCCACTTGCCCCACTTCCATTCCTTGAGTTTTTTTCAAATTTGCCCACATTGTGTAAACAATATCGACATCGTTCATTTTATTTCCCATTATACTGTTTGCCTTCACTAACTGAGCAGCATCTTCCAAAACAGCTGATGGTATATCATCTATTGTTTGTTCCTAAAAATATTAAAATTATAGTAAAAGTTCTAAAACATAATAAAAATGTAATTAAATCTTGCTGCCAGAATTCTGGATTTAACTATATTAGATAAAATATAACAGAAACTAAGTATTTAATTTACAGGTTTAAGCCTTAGATACACATGGGCAGAAGAAACTTTGTCAACGTGAAACCAGACATCTTCAGGCCAGCCCCATTTAATGAGGTCTTCGTCTAAAAGTAAACAGGTTATATTTGTTAATGTTTAAGCCTATTAACTTACTTTCGTATTTATCAATACCCATAAAAATGATGCTGGGTGGCGATACTACACTGCTTTCAAAATAAAACACCATTTTCGTGGTATTTTTTTTAAATGCACCAATAACCTAACCAACAAATTTGAAACTGACGTATGGTTTGACAATTTAATATTTACAGATACCTGTAATGTGATAACTAAGTTAAATACTAGATGGTGCAGAATAAAATTGTTCAAAAATCGTAAAAATGTAAATGAAATCGTGAATAGCAGTGTTTTTTTGGTGCTAATTTTTGGGCAGTAATTATAAACACTGTTTTAAAGCATTTTGCACAGTAAAAAATACAAATTGCTTCGCAAAAATTAGTGAAAGTAATTTTGGGAATTCTGCTTGTTATAATATTGCATAATGCAATTTGCATTATAAGCTCGATATAATTTGTATCAAAAATATAGGTATGGGAATTTGCAATTTTGGCGCCGGGATTAGACATCGTTTTATATCAATATAATATAATAGAATAATCAGTGGCGTGCTAGCCTCGAGGGGGCCCCGTATCAAAAATCTGGTAGGGGCCCTTGTACCGGAAAAGCTGCTGGCAAAAAAATTACTGAGTGTCACGCCTAAAATCTATTTTAGGCAAACAAAAAAAAAATTTTAGGGTATATTTTTTTGCATTTACCAATTTTGTATGATTTAAAAAATAATATATGTATAAAAAGCTTTTCATGTGCAGGCAAATTTTAAAATTTGGTCTGGTTTTAGACATTTACCGTTCTTCAACATCTTTTAAAAGGAATCTATTTTAAAATGAAGGCGTTATTTGAAATTATTGTAAGTAACGCTAATAATTATTTCTAATTTTCTATTAATATAACCTATGATAATAACACGCAAAGCAGACTCAGTATGCGGCGCAGAGCACAAAACAATATGCGCAGACTGCGCCGCAGACAACGCATAGCGGAAAGGTGCGGGCAGAAACAATTCGTATGAGTTCACGGCCTCGTTGGAACAGGAGAGTATTCAGGAAAATTTTAACTTAATAAATCGAAGTATAAACAATTAAATAATAATATTATTTAAGGGGACATCCATTAATTACGTGAGATAAAAATAGGGGGGAGGGGTCTAGCAAAATCTCACCAAATATCATGTTAAGGGAGAGGGGGTCATTAAAAATCTCACGTCAACTTTTGGGTTTAAAAAATATGTAGGTATTATAATTCAAATTTGTCAAAAAAAAGTAATCAATTTTTCTTTTTTGGGTTTATCATGTTATCCGCAAAGAAATGGCTAGAATCTCACGTGAGGGATATGGGGGGGGTCTACCACATCTCACGAAATCTTACCAAGGGGGAGGGAGGGGTCCAAATTATCAGAAAAATTCCTCACGTAATTAATGGATGTCCCCTAATATGTTTTTTGCTTACGCATGTCGAAGCTAATTGGGCCCCCCCTAGCCGGGGGCCCCGTATCATTGATACGGCTGATACCGCGGTAGCTACGCCCCTGATAATAATATACCTAATTACTGTAATGGAATTTTCCAGTTGTTAAAATAAAAATTGACAGGCCACGCCTTATGGTGGAAGAGGAGAGTCGAAATTAAAAAATCAACAATTATGTATGTATTCGTAAAATAAAATTAATTAAATTCATTACTGTTACATCCTGTTTTCCTTTACGTAAATTGACAATGAAAGTTTACGACACCCTCCTTTACAAATATATTTTTTATACTTGCTATTGAAATTAGAATTCTTCAAATAAATAAATAGGTACCTATGTATTTGCACATTAATCCCATTAATTACCTAGATACTTCGATTATGAAATTAGCAAAAAATATAATTAAAAGTTTGCATAAATATTAATTCATTTTTTAATTTGCCATTATGGTAATTTTTATATATATGCATAATATGTACTACTAAATAGTATTTAGATAATCAGTGGATTTAGTCCAAAAATGTAAAAACCCAAAAAAACTTTCTAATGGCACTTTCTCACATAAGTACTTAACAATATAACTTTTTATACAATTAGGTAGGTAGGTACACTTTAAAATTTAAATAAGGTGCTTACATAATACAATAGTAAGTTTTATAAACATTAAATATCTAGTTTTAAGACTTATCTGCAAAACACAAATAAAAAATCAATTTAGCTTTTCACGCTGTTATAAGAATATACACGGTGTTTTTATCTAAAATAAACAGTTATTTATGGCCGGTAAAAAATATTTTTTTGGAATTCAATCGAACTTTGGAACTAAAAAAATAGAGTTGGTAGTACCACCAAGTTGGTAGGTACTACAAGCAACCAAATATATAAAAAAAAAATTGTGTTACAATATTTAGTAACAAAATTAATGTTACAAAAATTGTTTTAAAATAAAAAATAAATCCATCATTTTTATTAACTAACTTCCGTTTATTCACCCATTAAAACATAAATATACCCGTTAATTTATAACAATTACTTTTGCAAAACCACAACCTAATTAATTGTTTGCGACTTAGGCAATATTTTAACACAATAATTATTATTGTGTAAAGATGCTAAAATTAATATACACACAATTTGCATACTGCTGATAAGATCATTTGTTTGAACAAAACGCATGCAGTGTTGTTAATAAATTTAAGCTTGTAAATGTTTACAACATATTTATTTGTCCGTTTAATATTCATAAGTTTTAAGGTTAACTGTTTTATTTACTTTAATAAATAAGGGGATTATCAAAAATGGCGAAGGTGCCGGGATAGGACTTTCTGTAAAACCATTTTTTATAAACTATTTAATTACCTTTTTTAAATTGAAGTTTATTAAAAATATTATTTATATACAGTGTGTTTCATTTTAATTGGCAATAATTCAAAACCCCTAAATAACCCCTGGATAATTTTGTAATACAATTTTATACGGAAGGGTCCAAAAAATATTTTTTTTCAAATTTTACATGGTTTTTGGACCAAAAGCCAAGTAAAATTTGAAAAAAAGTATTTTTTTAAACAATATACTATATGGGTACATTAGATGCACAACTCTGTATTTGCAGGATTAGGTAGTTTAGTAAATAATTGAAATCAAAAGATTTAAAAACATTTGCATCTTCCTCGTTCAAAGACCAAGTTTTGCAAGTGAAAATACCAAAAAATAACAATTAATCAGGTAATGCGTATACTAGCGACGTGGTTGGTCAAGAGCAAATACCGAGTTTTGTATCCTACAGAAAGAAACAAATACCCAGTTTTGCATCTGCGTAAATTTTTTAAATGTATTTTATTTTGCAAATATTAACTTATGCATCTGGTTTACTTGATCCCCTATAATGTCCCCTATAATGTCGCCCTTCTTTATGTAGGTACTAAAAAATTCTTTTTTTTCTACGTATAAAGAAAATTGGAAAATTGATCAGGGTACAGGGAGAAACAAAAAGTTTATTTTTTTTCAATGGATCACCCTATATATATATATATGTATTTATTTTTCGATTCCTTGAAAAATTCTAAGCATATTTCATATAACATACCATATACCTAAATTCAACCGTTTCTGAAATATTTAAATTATTTTTAAGACAATACAATTCATTATAATTAGAACCAATAAAATGCCAGTATTCCATGGTTACGCATTTTATCACAGCGACAATACAATTCATTAATATTAGAACCAATAAAATGCCAGTATTCCATAGTGACGTATTTTATCACAGCGGCAATAATTTTTATCATCTTGTTTACACGTTACTAAGAATTTTGACACTTTTTTTGATTTAAGATCTGTTGTCATTTAAATTCTGTATTCGATATATATCAATAAAATAATGAATTATAAACTCTAAAAGATCGATGGGTTGGTGTAAACGATAATGAAATTAAGGTAAGTTTGAATAAATAAGGTTTATTAAAGTCTTTTTATATTTTAAAGCACATTTTAATTTTAAATGTCAATCTGACAAATTTTTTAATTCCTAAAATTCATTATATTTTCTCACTAAATATAACTCGTGGTATGATTAATAATCGAAGATATTTACTCATTGAAACTGAAGCAGCACATTTCACTCGTCCTGCGGACTCGTGAAATCTGCAGCTCGGTTTCAATTCGAAAATATCATCGATGATAATCATACCACTTGTTATATTATGGGTGACAATATAATTCATTAATATTAGAACCAATAAAATGCCAGTATTCCATAGTGACGTATTTTATCACAGCGGCAATATTTTTTATCATCTTGTTTACACGTTACTATGAATTTTGACGTTTTTTTGATTTGACATTTGTTGTCATTTCAATTCTGTTTTTGATATATATCAATAAAATAATGAATTATAAACTCTAAAAGATCGATGGGTTGGTGTAAACGATAATGAAATTAAGGTAAGTTTGAATAAATAAGGTTTATTAAAGTCTTTTTATATTTTAAAGCACATTTTAATTTCAAATGTCAAACTAAAAATTCGTTAAATCCTAAAATTCATTATATTTTCTCACTAAATATAACTCGTGGTATGATTAATTATCGATGATATTTACTTATTAAAACCGAAGCAGCACATTTCACTCGTCCTGCGGACTCGTGAAATCTGCAGCTCGGTTTCAATTCGAAAATATCATCGATGATAATCATACCACTTGTTATATTATGGGTGAAAATATTTTTTATCACCTTGTTTACACGTTGCTAAGGATTTTTCTTGATTTAAAATTTGTTGACATTTAAATACTGTGATTGTTAAATGATTAAAATAATGAATTATAAACTCTAAAAGATCGATTTGTTGGTGTAAACGATAATAAAATTAAGGTAAGTTTGAATAAATAGGATTTAGACACTTTTCTTGATTTAAAATTTGTTGACATTTAAATACTGTGATTGTTAAATGATTAAAATAATGAATTATAAACTCTAAAAGATCGATTTGTTGGTGTAAACGATAATAAAATTAAGGTAATTCATTATATTTTCTCACTAAATATAACTCGTGGTATGATTAATTATCGATGATATTTACTCATTGAAACCGAAGCAGCACATTTCACTCGTCCTGCGGACTCGTGAAATCTGCAGCTCGGTTTCAATTCGACTATTTCCCTCGTCTAAATTCCCACAAATCACAAACGCGCAATTTTGAATTAAAAATGGTTTCTAGGTGAAAAAACTGTGTGACAGCACCTGTCAGCAGTTTTTTCGAGTTTACCCGCG